GGTCTCATCTTAAGGCTTGAGCGGGGGGTGATTCAATGCTAAATTCACTCAAGTGATTGAGTGGTTGTTGGCCAGAACCATTTTCTCACAGGCTGTTAGACTGATGGCTTCAGTCCCACACCAGTTGTTGGCAGGAGGCCTCCCTTGAGTCCTTGCCATATGGGTCCTTCCATAGGGCAGCTGACAATGTGGCAGCCAGCTTCATGACAGCAAGCAAGCAAGAGGGCCAGAGAGAGAGTGTGAGCAAGGCAGAAGTCACATCCTTTTGTAATCTAATCTCAGAAGTGATATCCCATCAATTTTGTCATGCTCTATTTGTTAGAAGAAGTCCCTAGGGCCAGTTCACACTTAAGGAGAGAAGATTACAGAAAGGCATGAATACCAGGAAGCAGAAATCTTAGGGAGCCATCATAGAAGCTGTCTAGTACAAAGGATATAACAAACAATGCTGCCTTACAGATTTCTGTATGTATATTGTGATATATGCATATCAGGTTATGCACCTAGGCATGGAGTTTCTAGATCTTAGGGCATGTGAATCCTCAACTTTCCATGACAATGCCAAACTTTTCCCAAGTGGTTACACAAATTCACATTCCCACTAGCAACAAGTGAGAATTCTGTTTGCTCCATATCATCACCAACACTTTTTATTATCAGACATTTTATTTTTGGCAGTATGATTTATGTAATATGTGATGTATTATAGCTTTAATTTGCATTTCTAAGATTACTAGTGAGGTTTGGCACTGTTTCATTTATTCATAGGTCATCTTGTATTTCCTCTTTTATGAAGTATCTGCCTGAATCTTTTGTTCATTTTTCTATGACTTTTCTTTCTGATTTGTATGAGTTCTGAAGATAATCTGGATGGTTGGGCTGTGGCAGTTACATGTGTTGCAAGCATCTTCTCCGGTTTTGTTTCCTATCTTTTTATTCTTTTAAATATGTCTTTTGATGAACACAAGATCTTCATTTTAAGGCAGTTGAATTTATCAATCTTTTCCTTTATGAACTCTTGGACTAAGCCTGTCTTCTGGCTATTGTTTTCCACCTATGTCTCCAGCTGTCCACCCCTCTTGATCCCCCACTATTGTCTCCATATAAACATCTTTTCTATGCTCTGGATACATGACTTCAACTGCTCACTTGATGGCTCCACCTCCATATCCCACAGTCAGTCCAACACCAATTTACCCCAAACTGAACTCATCCCTCCAAGTTCACCTTCCGCCACGCTACCACCCCAACTTGTATTTCCTAACTCCATGACTGACACAACTATCCACCAATCACAAAGCCAGTGTCTTGTGAATTTGCCCTGACTGCTCTTTCTCTTATAAGGATCCAGTGTTTCTGATTCTACGATCTAAACCTTGCCCCACTCTGTCTTCTCCTCTACATCTCCAGTGTCAGAATGTAAGTTCCATGAGTCCAGGGACCTTGTCCAGCTTGTTCATTACCACAATATCAGTAGGGGATAGTGCTTAACAGCATGAATTTTAGAGCCCAATTACCTGATTCAAATCCTGACTCCATCAATTATTAGCTATCTAAGGAAGTGGAAGTTACATGACCTCTTCTCCCTCAGTTTCCCCATTGGTAAAATGGGGGATGATGATAGTACTGATTTATAGGGTTGTGGTAAGGGTTGAATCAGTTCATGCATGTATAGTACTTAGAAAAGAACAGGGCACATGGTAAGCACTCACTAAATATTGACTATTAATATTACACCTTACCACCTAGCATGGGGTAGGGTATAATATTAAGCATCAAAATATATTTTAAGCATCAAAAAATATTTATCATCAAACAACTAAGCATCAAATAATATATATCAACAGAAATGAATGAATGCCACTCCTCTAATTTAGACTCTTATTATCTTTGCTTAGACAATTGCAGTAGCCTCCTAACTGGGCTTACTTTCTGCTAACCATCCCATTCCCTTTTTCATTCATTCTACACACTACCATTAAGGTTATAACTTCTTGTATATAAACATGAAGGTGTGGTGCCACTTCATTGCTTAACACCATGCAGTAGATCCCCAAGCCCCATGGGGAGCCAGAGCATAGTCCAAACTCCTCAATAGAACACATGTGCATGAACATGTGATCTGGCAATTGCCTATCTCTTTACCCACCTCCATCCTTCACACAACCTGCACTCCATTTACCAAACCACTGGCAGTTCCCCAAATGAGTCACATTCCTTTATTCCTCTCCTGCCCAGAATGCCCTCCCTCTGTCCTGTCCAGGTGACAAAGTCATCTTTTTCTTTTTTGCCAAGTCCCAGATGTAGGCACTGCCAGGCAGAGTTAGATACATTTATTATTGCAGCATTTATCAAATTACACTGTAACCATTTATTTACATGTCCACCCCCACTCCCCCAGGCTGCAAGCTCCTGAGAGCCAGATCGTATTTAGATTTGTATTTCTGGCAAGAAGCACAAGGGCTATGGAAGCTTAATATCAATTTGCTGAATGGATGGTTAGTTTTAAGAAGTACCTAATAAACCTTGGTATTTGTATTTCCTTAAATACTTGTTTTGGTTGCTACCTTTCTTAATAGAAATAGTCACTACTGCTTATGTTTACAAGTTTATTGGCTTCTAATTTTATCCTTTAAGATAAAAATTGCTAATATAATTCATTCATTCATTCATTCATCAATAAATATTTATCAGGAGACATTTGTCAGATACTGATTTGAAGTGAACAAATTAGACATGGCCCCTACCCTCATGAGGCTTACAGTCTATTAAATCTATTAAGTATGAAGGACAGACTGACCTTGAACCAATAAACAGGTCCATGTAAAATCATAAATTGAAATGAGAGTTGTGAAGGAAAACAACAGGTTATAAAGAGAAAGAATAATGGGAGGGACCTAATTTAGATAGAAGACTTAGGGGAGTTCTCTTTGAAGAAGTTACATTAGAGGGAACACTAAAAGGTGGGTAGGAGTGAGCCACACAAAGTCATGGAGAAAGAGCATTCCAGGCAGAAGAAACAGCATGCATGAAGACCTTAGGCAAGCGGAAGGCAGCTGCTGAGGCTGGGGCCTGGGAGTTGGGGACTGGGAGCAGACAAACCTAGAGAAGTTGTCAGGGGCTAGACAATGGGGTTTTGATCCAGAATATAAATTTCGTTTGTAGTTCATAGGGAAGACATTGAAGGTTGAACATATGGGAATGACAGGAACCTCTGGCAGGGCTCTGCCTGTGAGCACCACATAGCATACTGAGGATGTGTGCGCTACTCTAGGTTTCAGTGGAGAAAAAAGCAAGTGACAACCCTTCTGTCCCTGCTCAGTAAAAGCTTTGATCACCAGCCCCTTCCCCTGAATATACTGGAGAAAAATAATGGAAGTGCATTTCAAGGGCCGCATGTGAGAAGATCCTAAGCTCTCCTGGTTGTTCAGGTAGAAGTTGTCATCTTCCTCAATGATTTCGGCTGTTGGAAGACATGGCCAGGCAGACAGAATCTAAAAGTTCTTCCAGGTGTGACATGAGTCCCTGGAGGTCAGTGACAGAAAACAGTGTCCAAAGCCAGATGCCACCCTGGGAAGGGGGCTTTGGAAGCTCCTGGGAGGCCATAACACGGCCTGGAAGGCTCCTGTCTCCCACATATTCGCAAAGCTCCATGATAAGCCAGGCCCCTGCTGGTCTTGCAGCGTCCACCTATGATGCAGAATAAACAGTGCCACCCGTCAAGCTGTCTCCAACCTTGCCCTCGGTTCCACTACCAAAAGAGGGAACCTTGCTGGGCTTGCCCCAGCAAGGTGTTATTTATGTTAAGCTAGGGCCCCCGTGGCTTTCAGCTCTTACTGCTTTCAAGGTGCCCTTACAGACCTTCCCACTGCCCCCTGCATATGCCAGAGTGTGAACACCCCCCTCCCTCCCTCTCCACAGCCCCCGCAGTGGGGTTCGGGTGGGCGGGGAAGTGGTTTCATCCCTCTATATGCAGCCCTTGGAGACCTACTTAGGCAATTTGTCACTCAGGCTTCAAGCTGCCAGCCGAGGAGGGGAGCTGAGAAGACTCTATAATGAGATCTTTGTGCTGTAATTAAGTGCCAGGCTTTGTTTTACACCTATCTTTCCCGCCTTGCCCGATTCCACCGCCAAGCTCCTCCAGGCAGTGAGTGGGGAGTGTCAGCAGCTCTGTGATTACACCCCAAGTGGCAGGTGGCAGGGAGCTCCTCCGCCTGCAGTCTGCACCCCACCCCCAGGCTTCCCCCACCACTAGTCTTAACTCAAGACAGTGTATTTCTGTCCTTGAACTAGATTTCACCCCAGAAAGTCCCTCCACCGCTTTCTCATAAGGCTACCCCCTTTTAACCCTATGGTTGCAGGGCCTCTGGGGTGTCCATTTCTTTCTTTTGACACGTTCCTTTTCCTGAAAGTTTCAGCAAACCCCATAGGCAGAGGGGGTGTGAAAAAGGAAAAGAGAAGTTAGGGCAAAAGGAGCACTGTTCTTATAGGACAGGAAGGGTCTGTCTTCTCTCTTGGGTCCTCCACACAAAATCGGAGCTTCCAAACACCCCGGCTCCCAAACATATGCAGTAGATTCTGCTGGCAAGAGTGTGTCACTGTGATCTTCACATTTTAGCCTGAAGTTTAGCCTAGCTGAAGAAGCACCGGATCGGCAGTCGGAGAACATGGGATGGTGCTTCTCTTTGGCCTGGCTGTGCTTTCGGACAACACTTCAGGTCTTCGGCCTGAGTTTCCTTCTCTGCACGATGAGGAGAGAATGGGAAGGGGCAATGCTGGCCTGTGTGATCTCGATGGACACTGTGGGAGTCTGCAGAGACCGAAGCAAAACCTCCGCCTCTTCTCCCCGGGCCTCGCCTCTCACAGCCCTGGGAGAAAATCCTTCCCTGTGCTGGGGCGTGGCCGAGACGGGGGCGTGGCCTCGCCGGTGGGCGGGCCCTTCTGTGGGCGGGGCCGCGGAGCTTTGTGGAGCTCCAGCACCGGCGCAGCTTCTGCGGCCGGGAGTAGCCAGACGAGGCGCGGGCGGCGCGGGGAGGCGTCCCAGAGGTGAGCGCCCTGCAGCGGCAGGGGACGGCCCGGGGGCCCTAAGTCGTAGGCGGCGCGGGGCGGGCACGCGGCTGCCTGCGGCGGTCGGACGCCTCTCCGCCCTTCCCCCGTCCGTCCCGGTCTATTTTCCAATCTATGTCCAACTCGCGCCGCCTCACTAGGCGGCGCTCTCTGCCCCGCGGCACCCGCGAGACGTGGGGTCTGTCGGCCCGGGGACGGCGTGAGGGTGTCATGTGGGTGCCCTGTGCCCGACAGGTTGGAGACGAGGAGATCTCGGCAGTGACAAAGTCACCCACATCCTCTCCTTGAAACAGAGCGGGTCCCTCTTGTGCTGTCTCACTGTCACTCTCGCCTCTACCCTGTGGAAGAGGCAGGTGGCTTGTCCTCACTTTCTTCCTTGGAAAAGGGAGACAGAGGGCCACCTCCAGCAAGGCCGTAGAAATCCCAGAAAGTCACTGAGCTGCTCAACAAAAGGCACTAAACACCCCACCCCACAGCACCAGGCAGTGTACGCACCCTGGCCAAGACTCCGTGGTAAATATTGCCGCCTTTATGTTGAGAGGGAAAAAAAAAAAAGCCTGCCCGTGAAGATCATCGCCCAGTGGCCACGCTCCTGTGAAAACACAATTGGAAAACCATGTCCTAAGGGGCGAGGGTGGGTCTGGGACCATGCTGTGGCTTGGGTGACTGATGGTCGCAGGAGTGAGGGTGCTGCCCCGGGAAGGCGCTGAGGCCCTGTTGGGTGGGAATCGATGGCTGCGACTTTCTCCGGGAGGAGGGAGAGCGGTGTTGTTACCTAGTGTTAGGAGCACGTCCGTCCAGCACCGTGAATTGCCAACAAGCAGAGTAACTCCAGTGTCCTTCAGATACTGTTGCTGAGCAGTGACCTAATCAATGAGATGCTCTGTTTGGACGGCAGGTACATCTGTAATGCCGCCCGCTTGCTCAGTGCCTGAAAGAGGCATTGGTGACTCCCCGCTAATGCTAGGGGTAGCTACCCTGCCGGAGCAGTCAGGCTCTTGCAGGGCCTGTGTGGTTTCATCAGTTTTCTCCTGCATTTACCCATCCCCTCTGAATTCTGAAAAGTGTGTCCAAGATCTCTTGGACTCCTTGACTCACTTCATCCTTGTTCCTGTGGGCAGAAAACAATTCCCAGTGTGTCATGCACAGCCAGTCAGAAGGAAAGCCCTGGAGCAGAGCCCTGGGAAAAGTTCTGTGGAGCTAGATGCAAATTATTCAGTTACTGGATTGTGAGGAAATTCCAGGGGAGGTCCCAGAGGAGGGACCGGGCTAAAGCTAATTACCAAGCAGTACAAAAATTATATATATATATATATACACGCACTTTTTTTTCTTTTTTTGAGACAGAGTCTCGCTCTGCCACCCAGGCTGGAGTGCAGTGGCGCAATCTCAGCTCACAGAAACCACTGCCTCCCGGGTTCAAGCGATTCTCTTGCCTCAGCCTCCCAAGTAGCTGGGATTACAGATGCCTACCACCATGCCTGGCTAATTTTTGCATTTTTAGTAGAAACGGGGTTTCACCATGTTGGTCAGGCTGATCTCCAACTGCTGACCTCAGGTGATCCGCCTGCCTTAGCCTCCCAAAGTGCTGGGATTACAGGTGTGAGCCACTGCACTGGGCCAAAAATAATCTAAATTTCAACAGTCAGTATGACCATGTCTGTGCATATGGGCCTAATTATCAGTCTGACTGATTCTTCCTTCCAAAATGATGGCAGAGGATCACCTCTTTGGACATTCACAGCTCTGAGCAAAGCAAAAAGCATGTAGGTGCCATTGTCTGAATGTAAAATCAGCCCTGCCAGGTTTTTGATGTTGTTCCTGAGGAGGAAGCACCTCTCTGGAGGAAGGTGTTTCCAGACCAGTGCCTCCGTTGTTCATTCCTGTGCATCAGGAAGTTTGGCTCTGCTGAGTGTTGAAAGCAAAACTCTCCTGTTTGTTTGTTTCTGTATGCTGACAGACTCAGACAGCAGACAGCACTGCAGTGTCCAGTTACTGCACCCAGATGTGTTTGTTTCACTCCTAACATTGTGGGAAAGAATGCAGAAGGCAGATCCAAAGCTTCAATCAGATTTCCCCAAGCTTGAGTGATTCCCAGCCTTGGTCCTTTAATGTGTGAGCCACAGCGTATAGTGTCTTCAGCATATAGTGTCTCTGGGACAAACCCAAGTTTGAGGCACAGTCCCTGCTGTCCAGAAGTTCCTAGGTCTAAGTGGGACGACAAAACCAGCACCTGTGAAACAATTAAGTGCGAAAGTATGTGGCAGCATTTGCTAGCTCAAAGAAGACAGCTAGTGTGGACTGACTGGGAAAGGGAGAGAGAGCTTCACAGAGCCAGCTGGTGTTCACCTTGACTTAAGAATGACCATCAAGGGCTGGGCCAGGCCCAGGAAAGGAAGCATAAGGATATATGAAACTCACAATAACCAAAGGCACTTGCTGCCCAGAGCCAATCCAAATTCCTGCCTTCCAGGAATTCTGGCTGTGGGTCCTGCCACTCTCTTCCTGCACCCAGTGATACTGCCCTTCTTATAGCATTCTAACCATGGCTTTTTTTTTTTTTTTTTTTTTTTTTTTTTTCTGAGATAGAGTCTCACTCTGTCACCCAGGCTGGAGTGCATTCGTGTGATCTTGGCTCACTGCAACCTCCGCCTCCTGGATTCAAGTAATTCTCCTGCCTCAGCCTCCCGAGTAGCTGGGACTACAGTCACGTACCACCATGCCCAGCTAATTTTTGTATTTTTAGTAGAGACGGGATTTCACCATGTTGGCCAGTCTGGTCTTGAATTCCTGACCTCAGGTGATCCCTCTGCCTTGGCCTCCCAAAGTGCTGGGATTACAGGCATGAGTCACTGCGCCCGGCCTGACCATGCATTTTTTGTGTGCCTCCTTCACTTTATGCCTACTCTCCTATGCTCAAAATGCTCTGCTGAGCAATCCTCTACAGTTTTTAAGAAGCAGCTCAAATGACACCTTCTCCAGTGAAGACTTCCCTGGCAGGCCCCTATCCGAGTTTTTGAGCAGAATTGGAGGATTTTTCCTTTGTCCTCCATTTGTCCTTGCATAGACCTCTTTGAAGCTCTGTATTGTCCATAGGAGTTAAGGGGTCTTTGACCCACTCACTGAAGCAGAGCTGTGTCTCACTTACCTAGGGCTCCCCTGAGCCAAATTTGGTGTCTGGCACATAAGAGGCATTTGATAAATGATTCTTGATTGAAATTCAAGTCCTTATAGGTAACGGTGAAGTGCCCCATCAACTTGGAGTAGAAGGCATGGGTTATGTGTTATAGAGAGTCTCAGATTAGATAAATTACATGGAGCCAATTCCCAGAGGCCTTGAGGAGTCTGAGTGCAATGCGGTGGTGGTGCTCAAAACTCATAGCACCCCCTATTGCCTTCACTGTAGAATTCTGCCCCCAGCATATCCTCTTTAGCCTTATCTTCCACCAGCTCCCACCTTGAACCCACAAATCTACCTTCTGAGCCACTCCAGCCCCAGGTAGCTCCCCAGGCCTGGGCTGTCTCTTCTCCTTTGTCCATGCTGTTTGGCAGCCTTGACCAGGAATGCCTACTGCTCTCCCCAGCTAATTCCTGATCATTAAGACTCCAGATCTGAATCTTCTATGTGCAGAGGCCCCTCAGGCTGGGTTTTCAAGTTCTCTGTGCTCCGTAGCACCCTGCACAGCCTCTAACAGCATTTACCACACCCTCTTATGGCTGCTGTGTACTTGACCATCTCCCTGCTGGTTAGCTCCCTGAAGGCAGGGATTGGGTTAATCCTTGATATATCCCCCATCAGCTAATGTTGTTCCTAGGAGATGGTGTCCAATAAGTGTGCACTGGATGGCAGGCTGAAACAGGGTGGTAAAAATATCAAAAGAAGGACAAATCTAGAGACATCTGGAAGGGGAAAACTAGAATTTGGTGATTAGTTATATAAAAAGAGTGTATTAGTCTGTCCTCAGACTGCTAATAAAGATATACCTGAGTCTGAATGATTAATAAAGGAAAGAAGTTTAATTGACTCACAGTTCCACATGGTTGGGGAGGCCTCACAATCATTGTGGAAGGCAAGGAGGAGCAAAGTCACATCTTACATGGCATCAGCCAAGACAGCATGTGCAGGGGAACTCCCATTTATAAAACCATCAAATCTCTTGAGACTTATTCATTATCACAAGAACAGCACGGGAAGGACCTGCCCCCATGATTCAATTACCTCGCACTGAGTTCCTCCCACAACACGTGGGAATTATAGGAGCTACAATTCAAGATGAGATTTGGGCGGGGACACAGTCAAACCATATCAAAGAGTAAGGGACAAGGTTCCTTAAAACCTGTGAGGCAGGTGGAGATGGTGTCCTACAGGGGTAGGATTCCCTGGCCTGGGGAGAGGTCTGCTTATATGTCTCTGAGTACTATGCAAAAATGTTTTTGTTTCCTGGAGGATTTTCAAAATTCAAAATATTAAGTCACTTTGAGACATGTTGAGTCTGATGACAAAATGGAAATGTTCTAGAGTCAACTGAAACACACCTTTGAGTACAGGTGAGGTCGGGCCTAGAGAAAGATTTTGGGAGCTTAGTGGTGACAGTTTAACTTGTGAAAGCAAATGTGGTCACTGAGGGAAGAAGCCTAAAGCAGAGAATAAGGTCTTGGGGAAACCTGGAAGCCATGGGAGTTGGAAAAAGAAAAGGATCTGTTGGAAAATAGAATGACAGAAATATAGAGAAAAAATCAAGGAAGCCAAAGGAAGAGATATTTCAAGAAGAAATATGTGGCCAAAACTGCCCAATGCTAAAAAAACAAAAAACAAAACACCAAACCACACACACACACACCACTAGGAGATTCAAAAAAGAAAAGAGGCTAGGTACAGTGGTTCATGCCTGTAATACCTTGGGAGGCCAAGGCAGGAAGATTGTTTGAAACCAAGAGTTCAAGACCAGTCTGGGCAGCATAGTGAGACAGCCCGCTACACACACACACAAATTATCTGAGCATGGTGGCGCATGCCTATAGCTCCAGCTATTCCAGAAGCTGAGGTGGGAGAATCACTTGAACCCAGGAGTTCAAGGCTGCAGTGAGCTCCGATAGTACCACTTCACTCCAGTCTGGGTGATGCAATGAGACCTGGTCTAAAAAAAAAAAAAAAAAAAGACCTGAGGAGGTTAAAGAGAGGCTAGTTACTGAGTTACTGGGCAGTAGAAATGTTGGGTGGAGTTTTTAGACTTCTTGTCTGAGGAATTTGACCGTAAAAGAAAGAAGGAAGGAATGATCTGCTCAAGAGAAGACGTTCTGTTTGTTTTATGGTAAGAGAGATCTGCCTGCCTTTGATCACACTAGGGAAGGAGCTCATTTATGCTAAAGGAATATGGATAAATATTTATATTGTTCACATTGGTTATATTTCATTTAAACCTTCCTATCCTGCTTTCCCCTCCCCTGCAAGTGTCCCATAGAACTTTCTTTCTGGGGAATTGCCAAAGTCATGGTATTGCTAAATCTAGTGACAGGGTGTTACAACACTGAAATGATTTGTTCTCACCTCACTGGCCTGTAATAAGCTTCTCTCAAACGCCTCTAAACAACTTTCCTTCCTAATAGTGCTAGTCAGGCATTTTCTGTTTTACTGTGCACAAATTAATAATACCAGCAATAACAGCAAATGCATAGATAGCACTTAACTCTGAGCTAGAGACTCTTCTGAGTACCTGTGGGGAGTAAATGGTGAACCAGTATTCAAGCTCAACATATCTGTCTTCAGGGTCCATGCACTTAAAGCACTATGCTAAATTCAAGATAAATAAGTTTGTATTTTACCATAGATTGATGTTCATGTTCCTGACACTACTACAACATTCATAGTCCTGATGCTACTGACAACGTGGCTTGTCCACAGTCACCAAACCAGGCATCTCTCTGGACCCAGGTTCACTGTGGGTTGAACTAGCTTTAATAGTCAATAAGGCCAGGGACAGTGGCACACGCCTGTAATCCCAGCACTTTGAGATGCTGAGACGGGCAAATCTCTTGATCCCAGGAGTTCGAGACCAGCCTGGGCAACATGGCGAGACCTGCTTCTACACAAAATAGAAAAATTAGCTGGGCATGGTAGCATGTGCCTGTAGCCCCAGCTACTTGGGAAGCTGAGGTGGGAGGATCACCTGACCCGGGGGAGTTCGAGGCTGCACCATGATCATGCCACTGCACTCTAACTGGGGTGACAGAGTGAGACTCTGTCTCAAAAAAAAAAAAAAAAGAAATTAAAAAATAGTAAATAATTTGATAGTCAACAAGTAATCTGCCACATGCAAAGTATTGCAAGGGACCAAAAAATATAAGCTATGTGTCCCATCTCATTTACTCTTCATAACCATCCCATTTTATAGTCAGGGAAACTGTCTGGATTTGAACTCAGAAGACCATAATAAAGGCAAAATCGAAAGCCACTTTTAGTCCTGAGTTTCTGGGGTCTGAGATTCCTCCTCATCTTGGTCAGCGATATAACTAGGTTCGGATAGTTTCAAGACTACCTTTTATTTTCTTTCCCAACCTGTGAACCAAAAGGGTAGTGAGTATGAATCTCTAGTATGCACAGATGTGCAAAACATACTACCTCTCCTCTATTTTCTAGATACTAATATTGGTTTAGAGCCTTCATCTCATCTGGCTGGCAACCATAGAAACCACCCCAGGTTGTGTCACTGTGTCACAATTTCAGATCTTTTATGCATTGCCAAGATCCCAGGGGCATGGGTGCAGGTGTCTCCTGCTCCCCCATCTGGTCCACTCGGGTTACCACTGAATGCACTCTTGTGCCTGTCTTGCCTAGCAAGTCCCCACTGCTTCCAGACCACATAGCTAACACTGGGGTCCTGCCAGAGTCCTGTCTTCCTGGGACCCACAGGCCTCTTTTCCCTTCCTGTCTTCCTGTTTCTAGAAGCATGCCTCTCTGCTTCTACCCATCAGCACCCCCCACCCCTCTTCCCCCAACTTGGCAAAGCCTTGTGTCCCAACCTAAGGCCCTGTTTGGGAAATCAAAGCCAGAAGAACCTGCAAGCTATTCCTGGAAGGGTTCTGACATGTACCTGCCCTGGGCCAATGACTAGGGAGCTGGCTACAGAGGTGGAGGTGAGCCTAGGAAAGTAGAAATACAAGGAGAGGGGAAAAAAAGTTGTCTAATCTCAAAATATCTAGCCACAGACACAAGATCCTCTGAGGGTAATTTCTTGAGGGGGGAAAAAGTTGCTATTTAAAGCTAGGATATATGTGGATGCATTTTTTTCATTGGTACATTAATAACATCATTTTCCACTATGTGTCTTCAAGATCTGGTGTAACAGGCTTGTAAATTTGCCAGAATGAAGAAGGAATGTTCTGCTCCAGGGAGGATTGGCTCTGGTCTGTGACTGCTGTCATGATGATACTGAGCAAGTTTCCTTAGATAACTTTAGAGTTAACAAGGATGTAAAAATGCTTCCATTTCAGACTCACCGTTATACATACGCAGAAACTGAGGACAATGAAAGTTAGACTTGTCTAGGATACCCAGATACCCAGACTGTAGCTGAAGGAGGATTAGAACTGAGATTTACCCTCTCCCAGCCCGGCACTTTTGCCATGGTCTCATTTATCTTGGAAGTAACCACCACTAGCAAGTTGGAGCCAAATCAACTAGCTGACTCCCTGCCCTGACTCAGAATGGAGCACAGCCACCCTGGGCAGCCTGCCCAGGCAGATTCCACATGCAATAAACCTCCTTTGGGTCTCAGGACACTGGGCACAGGGTGGGGACCTGTGCTTCCAGCGGGGGTACGCTCCCCAGCCTCACCTGTCCCTGCTTACAGTCCCTCAGGCAACACCAGTGAAATCGCTTCCTCTCAGGGCGTCTTCATCCTGGCCTGAGTGCCCCCCACCTTTCCCTCTCAGCCTCTTAAGGGTTCACCTTGCATCAGGGGGTGTCTCCAGCAGCTGCATGGTGCATTGGATTTTATCTGCCTGGGAAACTTTCTCTTGATGCCTTTGCTAGCCCAGCACAGACTACACATCCCTCTCAGAACAGTTCTCAAGTGTTTGATACTCTCTCTTCATATTCCTATTCCGTATCTAACCGATCAGTTTAATAGGGTTCCTAGTCCCCGGGCACCATCCCCACCACAACTGTTTCCAATTTACATCACAATCCAAATGATTTTTGCAGCGCTTAGCAGATTGTCTGTGTCATTACTTTCAGGGATGCTATATTGGACTTCCCTACTCTCATCTGCTCCAGCTCCCTGACCTTACAGTTGCCCAGCTTTCCTGGCAATTGACTTTGCTCATCAATACATAGGATTTAGCTGAGTAGCATCCAGGGAGGATGTCGGAGCCTCAGATGTTAATTTTCTAATTGAGAATATTGGCGCTGTCTGAACCTGGAGACAGGTAGACAGGTAGGAATGTTCACTTTGTAGACGAGCTACCTTTTCCCGACGATTTTAAATGTTATGCTAGTTGTTCGTTTTTAATATTACTCAGACAAAATGATGTCTTTCAATCAGATGCTTTAAAATTGTGTGATAAAGAGTTATAATGTGCTGACAACAGGGAAGCCATTCTGTACCTAAACCATGTGGGTTTTCAACATAACTATTTTCAGAATATCAGCGCCTTTGCTTGCTGCTGTTTTTGTTGTTTTCTGATGCTGGGAATTACCACCTAAAGATAGTAAAGAAAACAGAGGAACCTTTCCGGTAATTTCCCACTCATGCTAAAGAAACAAAATCACCGCAGTGCCTTGAGAAATTTCCTTTCCCTCTCTCACTTTCCACTTCAGTGGTGTTCTAAAGGGAAGGCGTTTCTGGTGAGGGGTAGTTGCGTAAATGATGGCTGCCTACTTCAGCAAGCAAGAACTGTTGGGAGTATTAAGCATGGGTAACTGGATCCTCTGGTTTGGGCACTGGAGGATCCTTGCAAACCGGAAGCAGGCTGTTGCTGCCGGGGTAGGGGGCGGCGGGAGTGGGAGGTAGAAACTATTATTGCTGTGATTTTTATAGGCAGTAAACTGATGCTCAGAGAGGTTCAGCACTTGCCCAAGCTCACATACCTACTAAACTGTGGAGCTAGGATTTGAATCTAGCTACAAACTTAGTTGTCATTGAAATGTCTAAATGCACTCTGTTGCGCAAGCGATAGGAACTTCCCAGCGGAGCTCAGCTCAGGGCCGCTTGCAGCTCCTCCCCGCCCCGCTCGACTCTCCCCCGCGGCTCCGCGGGCTCCTCCCCCTCGGTCCCTGCCCCTTGTGCGCCCTCTGCTGGTCTTCAGGGAAAGCGCCTCTCCTGAAACCAGAGACGTAGCACCCAAGCTGTCCTGTTTCCTTAGCTCCTAGTAAAGCGATATGACCCATTCATCCCCTCCTCCTCAAAGCCTCACATGAATCTTCTTTGAGGCACTCTCTGATGCTTCACTCTTCAGCGCTGAGAAAAATGGGGAGGGGGGAGTGAATGTATTAGTATAGCCCCTTCTCAAAATCAATCGTGCAGCATCTTAGTCATGCCTCATCCTGGAAGAATGAGGCAGCTCACATGGGCATGGGGATAATGTTAGAAATGCAGACTCTCAGGTCCCGCAGCCACAGCCCTGATGAATCAGAATCACCGTTTCAAGGAGGTCCTGGGCCGTTTCAGGTTCCAAGCTCGCTTTGAGACCCTGTGGATGTTTTGCAGCATATTGAATTTTGATTCTGTTTAAAGGTCACAGTGACAACTAAGTTTGCAGCTGGATTCAAATCCGAGCTCCACAATGTAATAAATATGAGATCTTAGACAAGTGCTTAAGCTCTCTGCGTTAATCATCTATAAAATAATGAAAAGCAGTATAAGTCAACTCTTCAACTTTCAGGACATTGTTCACCCGAAATCCAATAACTGTGCACTGTCTTCTAGCACAGCCATAATTTACCTAGATGTACTGCTTAGAAGTCTCACTCTGATGGTGACCTTAGTTCTATTTGTCCCTGGAGAGCCACCAGACCATTTTGTCTGGAGGTTCTCTGCTCACTGGACAATAGGGACAGTGGAATTGTCCTCATTCTTGTTCATGAGTCTTTAGAAACCAAATGACCCCAGAAATGTCATGGAAGAGATTTTTAGGTCCCAGAGGAACTGAATGACTTAGGCATCCACCTTCTGAACAGAGGCTGGGCCAGAGATTTCTCAAGATCCCTTCAACCTTGGTGTTCTGTACACCTTGATTTACAAAGTGGTCTTGATCTTTTCCAGTTAAAATTCCATTTAGTAGAGATACACAGAAAGTTTGCAATTCTTCCACAAGAAAACTGCTGTATGGCATAGAAAAATATCTGCGTAATTTTTTTGGTTTCTTCTTCTTAATTAGCTTTCCTATTCTTCCTTAGGAAAACAAAAAGCCCTTTCTCCTGATTCACCAAAAAATAAAATACTGACTGCCATCACTGTGATGAGATTCCTATAGTCTCAAGAACTGAAGTCTTTAAACAACCAGGGGACCCTCTGCCCCTAGAATAAGAACACATTAGAAGTCCCTTCTGCTAGGACAAGGAGGTAAGTGCTTCTGGTAAAAATGTATCATATGTGTGTATCTGTGTGTGTGTGTGTGTAAGAGATACATATACAAATTTATACATGTTTGTACATTTATATACATATGTACAAATATACATACATATGTATGTATATTTGAGATAGGGTCTCTCTGTTGACCAGGCTGGAATACAGCAGTGTGATCATAGTTCACTGCAGCCTCAAACTCTTAGGTTCAACGGATCCTCCTGCCTCAGCCTCCCAAAGAGCTCAGACCACAGGTGCACACCAGCATGCCTGGCTAATATTTCTATTTTTTGTAGAGACAAGGTCTCACTGTGTGGCCCAGGGTGGTATGGAACTCCTGGGCTCAAGCAATCTTCCCATCTTGGCCTCCCAAAGTGCTGGAATTACAGGCGTGAGTCACCATGCCCAGTTCTATCTTCAAAATATTAATGGGGAAAAATATTGCTGGGGTACTTAAGTTGTGCCAAGTACTACAGGGGGATCCTGTGTGAATAAAACTGAGTGCCTGCCCCTCAAGACTTACAATCTAGTGGAGAAAGCATAATGTAATAAACATGCCATGATGGAGATGTACCCAGAATACCAGGGGAGGGAGATGAAGAGTGTATGTAGGCCGGGCGTGGTGGCTCATGCCTGTACTCCCAACACTTGGGAGGCTGAGGCAGGTGGATCGCTGGATCCCAGGAGTTCGAGACCAGCCTGGGCAACATGGTGGAACCCTGTCTCTACAAAGCAAAAACAACAACAACAACAAAATTAGCTGGGCATGGTGGTGCAAGCCTGTAGTCCCAACTACTTGGGAAGCTGAGGTGGAAGCATCACTTGAGCCCAGGGGGTTGTGGCTGCAGTAAGCCCTGATTGCACCACTGTACTCCAGCCTGGGTAACAGAGTGAGACCTTGCCTCAAAACAAAAGAAACTAGTGCACGTAGAAGTGTGAGAAGTGCACGTAGAAGTCTCATGGCAGAGGTGGCCTCTGAGGTGGCCTTCAATGGGGCAGTTGGAATGGGATGAGCAGATGAGATGTGCACGAGCATTCTAAGCCCTGGGACCAGCCTAAGCTGAGAGATCAGGTGGAGGGCAGACTCTGAGAATGGCAAGTTAGACGTTGAGCACAAGGCAGTGATGGGACGCCGGTGTAGATACAGCCAGGAAGGCAGGGTGGCTGGAGTTTCCCCCTCTGTGAAATGAAAGGGTTCAAGCACCGAGGGCCTCTCCTGTCAACCATTCCAGAATTTGCTTAGAGTCTGTGGTGGGGACCCTGAGGTCATCCTGAAGAGTTTGAGTGATAATGGGCATGAGGAATCAGTGAAGACTTCTAATCAGAGTCATGCCCTAGGAAGCCCCCTCAGATAGCAAGGGGTGTGTGTGTCAGGGTCAGGCTTACTCTGGGAGCCTAGCAAGGTGGTGTCTTCCATATCTAGAGAGGAGGTAGTGGAGCCTTGCAGCCGAGCAGTGGCTGTAGAATTGAAAGAAGGGGAATGGATGCTGGAGGCATCCTGATGTGAAATTCACAGAACTGGCCGCCAACAGCATTGATGCCCTGCTTGAGGCTTCCTCCAGCTGGGAATTAAGGAAACCAGAATGACCTCACCCTCCTGGTTAGATTTTAAGGATATATACACTAAAGACAGAAATGAGGATCCATGAGCAAAGATGAATATGAGGCAGTGTCTGACCAGTGAGAAGGGTCTCAGAAAGGCCATAGCCCTAAATGCTCTGAATTTGGGGGAAATGCTACAAATATGCAAAATGATTTTTCAAGCTCTGTTCAGATAAGGAAGAAGCAACAAGCTCACTGTCAGAAGCAGATGGTGCAATGGTGTAATACTAGCAGATAACCACTCCCTGACAGGAGAGAAGTGATGGCCCATGTAGGAGAGAAAGAAGCAAGCAAGTGACGTGTGGCTGTTCTGAATCTGCCCAAGTCCTTCTCAGACCAGCCCATCCAAGGAACCCAGAGAATTGGCAGAGGAGCTCTCTGCACCTAGCAGCCTTTTCTGCAGGGCCACGAAGAGGGAAGGAGGCACCAGGCAGGATGTGAGCAAATTCATTCATTCAGCAGATATTTGCCAACATACTACATTCTAGGTGCTGGCAACACGGTGAGCCAAAGAGAACCAAACAATACCTGGCCTCCGGAACAAAATTCTGATTCACAAAATGGGACACAGGTGGGCTTTTAAACCACAAACCAGTGAGCTTGACAGCAACTGTGGACAAATTTCTAGGAGGTTTGGTAGGTGGTCTGCAGCTCTGTGGAATGGTGTGGGGATCCCTGTATGTCAGCCTGTGTTTCTGAATGGTGAGTCACAGAGAACTCAGCTTGTTTCCATCCTGACAGGGTTACCCTTTTCTAGCAACTCTAGGAATTTGGCAGGGCATTGACAGTCTCTCAGGGTACCCCCCAACCCCCACCCATTGCTAATGGAACAAAGGCTGCACATAAAAGTGCACATGAAAGGGAAATTTAGGCTACACTTAATAGATGTGCTTTGCATTACGGAATCATAAAGACCTAGAGAGGCAAACAGACCCTAATGAGACCACCCGGCATCAGTAAATAAATCAACCATTCTGCAGTGCACAGAAGCCTCATGTGCTGATTCTCTGAGTCCTCTTTAGATAACAGTAGTCAGTCGACAGTCTTATACCCCGCTGTGTTAATCCCTGATGCTAATGACTGTTGCTGCTCAGGCGTGTGATGGGTCTGAGGAGAAACCTAGGTAGGAGCTCGCTTTCCATTTTGCTCACATGAGCGGACTGCCTGTTCCTGGCCGTGGAGTGCATTTTGCACGAGTGAGCTGCCCTCCCTCCCTCCTTCACCTCGTTAGCCTAAGTGTGAGCTGCCTAGGGCACCTGCCTGACCCCAGCTTTCCCTCCCAGTGGCGCTGCTGGGTGCTGCTCCCCGGGACTGCGGCAGAGCCCTCCTCGCGGGCGCCGCTCCTGACATGGTGTCCGGCCGCACGGATGACCGGTAGAGGGCAGCAGCGCGCTCCGGGTCCTGAGCAGGGCCTTCCTTGTCAGACTCGCAGCAGGTCCGCTGCTGAGGGACGGGGCCTGATGGGCTAGGGGCAAGGGCAACCTGGTGAAGGAGTGGGATCACTGCAGGAGGAAGAGAAAGAGGAGACGTGGAGAAGTGGTGCTGACCACATTGGCGTGTTGAACACTGCACATTTATGTGGGCCCCAATGTGCCTGGCGCGTGCACGCGACCGGAGCCCAGCCGTCGTCAGGTGTAGACATGCAGGAGGCTGGCAGATGGGTTAGAAGAGCAAGGAGGCACAGCAGTTGGAGGTGTCGAAAGAGGGTTTGAAGAGAAAGCCCGGAGTGCCTGGAATGGTGAGGAGGCATGAGGAGGCTGACACCGTGAAAGGCAGGGACGGCTCAAGGGCACTTTCAAGGCCATCAGGGAATGGTGTGGAGAAGTGAGCGCGCACAACAGCTGGAGGGGGCGGTTGTGAGGAGGGTCGGAGAGAAGGCCCTCCTTTCACCGGTAGAGGGTCGTGACTGCAAGGTGTCCAGGTTCTTGGGGTTTTGAACAAAGAATTGGACAAAACGCCTAGCAAAGCAAAGAAAGAGTGAAGCAGCAAAAGAACAAAAGCAGGGATTTATTGAAAACGAAAGTACACTCCATAGTGTGGGAGCAGAGCCAAGCAACGGGCGGCTCAGGGGCCTGGATGCAGAATCTTCTTGGGTCCAAATACCTGCTAGAGGTTTCTCATTGGCCACTTCATGCTCACCTTATGTAAATGAAGTGGTGGCCCGCAATCAGGCTGATTGGTTGCAGAAAGCAGCTGACCAGAGGCTGAAGTGAATTTACAAAGGCCAGGCTCCTGTGCAAAATACCTGATTGGTTGCAAAAAGCAACCAATCAGTGGCTAGGAAGAAGTTACAGTTATTCTTCTATGCAAATGAAGACTCGGCAGGGACTCAGTCTGATTGGTTGTGGACAGCAGCCATTCAGAGGCTGGAGTGAAGTTACAAAGTTGCAAATGAAAACTCACCTGCAATCAGTCTGATTGGTTGCAGACAGCCAATTTCCCATCTGCTGTGCAGAAAAGGACAAAGGGAGTAGCGTCTGGTCCTTTTGTTACTTAGGCATGGAAAGTTTGGGTTTTCCTTTCAGTTTAGTTCTAGGAAGTCAGCGTGAAACAGCCTTAGGTTCCCTGCTTCCAGACCCTATTCTGCCTCACTCCCACATTGTTCCATTGTCAGGAATAAACGACTCGGGGGGTAAGGTGGACCTCCAGATGAAGATGAAGGTAGAAGGGGAGGAGAGGCTGAGAGGCTAACCTGCCACTGGGACCCAGGGCCAAAGCCCTTTATGATTGAGGGAAAGTGACCACAGATCAGCAGATGATGGCTGAGAGATGTACTGGAGCGGGACCGTGGTCCGGTCCTGAACAACACATGCAGCCATGCCCAGAGATGCTAGGTTTAGAGGCTAACATGCAGTAGACAGAGCTGCTTGACCTTAAGTTACTTAACTTCTCAGGGCTTCAGTTTCCTCATCCGTAAAATGGTACCTACAGTAATGGTACCCAGTAATAGTACCTACAAAAGACTGGGAAGATGAGGGAAGGGAGGGAGCTCCCAGCTGCGTGGGGAGGAGCGTACAGGCGAGGGTAACCCACCATATGGTATTACAGGGATTTGTGTCTATTTCTGTCCTCCCTCCAGACTCTAGCCTCGTGGTTCTCAGACATGGGTATGCATCAGAATGACCCAGATGCATTAAAAACACTGCCAGGTCCGAGCCCCAGAGCTTCTGATTCAGTGGGGCTGGGATAAGGCCCAGTAATTTGCATTGCTCGCTAAGCCCAGGTGCTGCTGCTGCTGCTGCTGGTGGTTCCGAGACTGCACTGTGGGCACCACTGCTCTGGAGTCTGTAGAGCCCCAGCAGGGACTCCTGTTGAGAAGAGACGGGCACATAGTGGGAGTAACTCTAGGACAAACAAAAATTCCAGATACAGTGCAAGAAGAGGTAGTGCTG